CACCTGTCTCTCTCTCTCACCTGTGTCAGCTGACTCTAACAGGTCACAGCAGGAAGGTAACGGCGGCGAGGTTCAGCAGTCTTTCTCACCAGGTGGTGACGGGCAGCGCAGACTGAACCATCAGACTGTGGGACCTTCAGAGAGCCGCCTGTGAGTCTGATCAATAACTGATCAGTTACTGATCACTGACCGATGTGTGGTTGATGGCTGATTAAGGTGTATTTACCTGTGCAGGTGTGCAGGTCGTGGAAGTGGCGTCGTACTGCAGCGACCTGGTCTGCTCTGAGAACTGTATCATGAGCGGACACTACGACTGTAAGATCAGAGTCTGGGACACCAGGTAAGCCCTCACCTGAGCCCTGAGCCCCCTGTAGATCTGATCCTGGTTCAGTTTTAACTGTCTGATACCTCATTCATCCTCCCGGCCGTCGCCACGGCGACTCCCCGTCTCCCTCTGTTACCTAGCAACAGCTCTTGCCTGTAGAGTCTGAAGCAGCTGATGATTGACAGCTCTGTCCTCCAGTCACACAGCAGCATTAACTCTCCCTGCACCTGATTGGACGGTTACATAATTCACTGAGCTGTGATTGGTTTAACAATAACTTATCTGTCTGAATGTGTTGTTTTTTTAATTTAATTTTATTATAGAGCGCTTAGATAACCAGATAAAGCAAATAAAACGTAAAACTGAACCACAGCAAAGGATCATTGAAGCATTGAGCTTTACAGGAGGCAGCATGTGACCTCCGCCCACCCTCGATGCGATGACACTGTTCAGGATTGTTTACAGTGAGAAACACGTAACAAACAATGTCCTCAACAGTGCTCACAATATGACTGCAGGATCATTTGATTATTTTTAATTTGTAAAACATCAAACTAAACCACTGCAATGGATCATAGGAGCACTGAGCTAAACTGAAAATAAAACAAGGTTCAAGTTTTAATATATTCATCTTTAAATTCATTAAAATAACACGCAGATCGACCAATGATTACAGAACAAGAAATAAAAACAACTTAAAAATAAACACATAAAAGCTGTTAAATAATAGGAATGATAAAAACTTCATGAAATGAGCTTAAGTGACCTCCGCCAACCCTCGATGCAATGACACCGTTCAGGACTGTTGAGGTTGTTGACTGGGATATTGGGAAGTCTCTGGCAGCAGAGGTCACCAAATCTGTGTTTTTCTTCAACATATCAAAGTGACATTCAACAGAATCTGACTGACTTTATTTCATTTTTGTTTGTAATCATTAAAGGAGAAATGTGTCATTTCTGAACACATGCTCCAAAAACACAGGAGGCAGCATGTGACCTCTGTGTGATGACACTGTTCTGTTTACAATGACATAATAATAAACAGTGTCCTCAAAAGAGCTTGGAATATGACTGCAGGATCATTTTTCCATAATGTACTGTGAGCCCAAAATAAACAGTTTTTACTGTGATTTAATGTCAATAAATGGATCAATATGATGCTGAAATAACGACATCATGATGGCGATTTTCTAAAAAGTCTGAATTCAGACATTGTTGGATCCGTGTGCAAGACGACGAGCAAACAACTTTTAAAACGCTTATTTTCTGAATGGAGTTTGGTTGACCAGAGCTGTGCTAATTAGCTCCTAGTAAAGTGAAGCCGACCGCTTCCTCTCGTCGTCCGTGTTGTGCAGTGAACACGTCAGATGTGATGAGGGAATGTAAACAGAGCTGACATGTTGTCATTCAGGACGGTCAGCTGCGTGCAGGAGCTTCCCGCTCAGGGTAAAGTCACCTCGCTGGACATCAGCTCCGACCACCGCAAGCTGCTCAGCTGTTGCCGTGACGACTGCCTCCAGCTGGTCGACCTGAGGAGGTGGAGCAACGACCGCATGTGCTTCAGGTAGAAACGTGACGCTGTAATGAAGTTAGTTTGTTTGTTATGAGCAGCTGTTTATTGACTCTTTGTTTGTGTTTGTCAGAGAGGAGGGCTTTAAATGTGGCAGCGACAGCACCAAAGCTGTGATCAGGTGAGTTCATCCTCATCATCAGGTAACCTGCACAGACTGTTGTCACTTTCTTTCACTCTAGAAGCGCCATTCAGAAGCAGTCAGTGTTTATCAGCAGAGAGTGA